AGTATCATTAAAAATCCAGACTGTGTTTTCCTAATTGCCTCACAAATACTTTTAATAGTTTATTTGTTTGAGTTGGGATCAAAATAAGGCTATTTCTAGTATTTTGGAATAGGTTTTCTAATTTCAGTTTTTCCTTCAGAAGCAAATGCACATTTGGCCTGCTTACATCTGAAGAGCATCAAATTGAGGGTAAAGGTTTGTCTCTGCCCCCATAGCTAATGATTACCCACCTTGTTGCAAATGAAGTAAGTTAATGAGACCTAGGTTTCTGATCAATTAGATTTTTCATTTTCTATTCATTTTATGAAATAATGACAATCTAATACACTATTCAAATAATTGCACAATCATGCTTGAACCAACTATTCAATAAAGATTGTAGAAGTAATTGCCTACCCAGCTTTTTGGCCACTCCAACCTGCACTTCAGCCACATTCTGGAGGTAAACAGTAGCCAGTACAAGGCCTCAGGCACCAACACTAAATCGGTTCCACCACAAGGACTCTTTTTACACAGAACACCTTCTTTATTAACTCCTTGTCTAGAGACCTCAAAGCAGGAAATACTTTCGCCCACTTCATAACACTTATTTCTTGACTTTATTTATTTATTTATTTTAAAAAAGAGACTTTAATTATTCAATTGGAGAAGATGAAAGATTTCAGAAATCTTACAATCTGTTTCCATAATAAAATAAAGTATGTTGTTTGGGTAAAAGCAAATGAACAAAAAAAAACCTACAGCAAAAAAAAATAAATAATTTAAAAAAATTTTTTCAATTACAGTTGATATAAAATATTACATAGGTTCAGGTGTACCTGTATAACATTATATAACTTTCTAAGACATTATATAATATTATATAACATACAAAGTGATCACCCTGAAAAATCTAGTATCCATCTGACACCATACATAGTTATTACAATATTATTGACTACATTTTCTTTTTTTTAATTTTTGTTGTTATTGTTAAATATTTTTATTTTTTTATTCTATTTTTTGTGATTTATTTATTTAAAAATATCCTGTTTATTCTACTACAGTTGTCTCAATTTTTTCCCCTTCACCCCCCTCCACCTACACCCTCTACTCCCTGCTCCCACAGTCGGTTCCCCCTGTTGTCCATGCCCATGGGTCATTCATACATATTCTTCATCTAGTCCCTTCCCCTTCTTTCCACCATTGTCCTCCACCCCATCCCCTCTGGTCACTTCCAGTCTGCTCCATGTTTCCATACCTGTGGTTTATTTTGTTCGTTAGTTTATTTTGTTGAATAGATTCCACTTCTAGGTGAAATCATATGGTGTTTGTCTTTCACCAACTGGCTTATTTCACTTAGCATAATGTTTTCCAGTTCCATCCACATTGTCGCAAAAGGTAGGAGTTCCATCTCTCTCTCTCTCTCTCTCTCTCTCTCTCTCTGAGGACCAAATCAGCGAGCTGGAGGACAAGGTAGAAAAAAGCTTCCAGAAAGAGCAAGATCCCAAAATGAAGCATCTTCTGCTTCATCTACTCCACTGTTGATCCCCTGTAATGTATTCTTTATTTCAGTTAGTGTACTCTTCATTTTTGACTGGTTCTTTTTTATGTTTTCTATCTCCACTTTTACAAAAAGTCAAGAATATGTAGAGTCTAGCCTACATCTAATGCTATGAGAGGATACTTCCTCCCTACCCCAGTGAGTTCCCTATGTCTAATGCATTTTCTGCAACTCTCTCTCTTCTGGACGATGTATGTATTGTTTACAGTGTTTGCAAACCCTAGGTGTAACAATAAAAATGTCCCACTTCACTTAGTATGATTTTTGGCATAAGTATAAATCATTAGGGTCTTCTAGGGCCTCATCATCCTAGAGAGAGGTGACCAAACTTGGACAGGCAGCTCTTCTCTGAGGACTTTTAAATAATCCTCTAGCTTACGCCAGTGATTTTCAACCTTTTTCATCTCATGGCACACTTAAACTACTTACTAAAATTCTGCAGCACACCAAAAAATATATTATATTTTTTGCTGATCTGACAGAAAAATAAGTATAATTTTGATTCATTCAAACTAGATGGCTATCATTGTGTTGGCTGTTGTCCTTTTTTTATTTGACAATCTAAGGTAAAAGAGGTCAGCACTCCTGACCAAATAGTCAGGTATTGCATGTTTTAAAAATTCTTGTGGCACACTGGTCGAAAATTGCTGGCTTACATCATAATGGCTATTATATGTGACCCCCAGGACTTATGAGTCTTATTCTAGTGACACTTACTGTTTTCTCTGATGATCTCTGTCTCACTTACTGTCTCCAAGTGTTCACTTTACTACAGACACAGAGAAATACATATTTACAGGATAAATATAGATGTAATCTTAATAGAACAAAATAACAAACTCTGTCTATATCTATAGAGAAATGCACATCCTTGTCCTATACAGATGAGTGGAAACAGAACATCTATATTTTTGCCTTTTAAAAATATAAATCTGATCATATCACATCCTCCACCCCAGGCCTCAACCCCTTTCAATGGCTTGTGGTTTCTTCAAGGATACCTCAAGACCCTGCAGTGTCAGTTTCTATGTCCCTAGCTGCCCCTCGCTCTCTCTTACACAGCTGCTCTAGCCTGCTCTCAGTCCTCCTACCTCCTGAGCTCCCTTACCTTTGCACACATCATCTCCTCAGCTTCTAATGATTCCCGCCCCACCAACCAAAACCAGTTGTTTACTCATCTTTCAGATCTTAATTTAAGCAAAACCTCCACAGGAACAACTCTTACTCCACATTCAGATCCTCCAATATACATGTATAAAGAGCCATGATCATCTTTGGAGCACCTATCGCACTTGGAATTTTACTTTTTTGTGAAAATATATTTTTTCACACAAGAAATTTTATATCTATATCTATATCTATATATCTATATACATATATAGACATATAATCGTTTGTCTCCTCAGTAAGACTGAAAGCTCCAGAGTGCAGGGATCATTCCTGCTTGCTGTTTACTGCTGCCTAGTTCAGTGTTTGACATATAGTAAGCACCTAATAAATAGTTGAATGACCAGATGAATAAGTGAATATGTGAAAGCATTTTGGAGAACAACTTGCACTCACTATATGTTAACTTTCTCTTTTGCAACCTCCAGCACATATTTACATTTCATGTCCCTTAAAAATAGGTACCTAGTTAAATCTCATCTTATCTCAGCCTGCAGATCACCATGTGTGCAAGTCACTTTTCTTCACTTCCTCATTTATGTTTTCTCAGTTTCTATATTAGTAACTTACATATAAACCACACTGGCCCAATTCTCAGAATGTCATGAGAGTTTACTACTTAGAAAACTCATCACTTTTCAAATTACCCACATATTCTAAAGGAACTGGTGCAACTTTTGCCCCGTGACAAGAGGAGCATTGGTCAGATGTAGGATCAATTTCATGACAATGTCAGTGAAAGAGCCCAGGGATCTGCTTTTCTACCTCCATGTGTGTTTACATGACCTTTTGGTAGCTTGTAGTTTACATATGAATTTTTTCTTATATATAATTGTAGGACATAAACCTGATTCCAGTTGCAAGATAGTAACAAATACATATACACATAATCTCCAAACTGTAACCTTGCTCCATTAACTATGCATTTAACTTTTAAGTTGCTTAAGAAGAGATCTATGCAAATTAGATATAAATTTCAAAACAATTCGTTTTTATATATTGTTTTATTGGTTGTGAAATCTAAGTGGAGAATTCTAAGGGTGTTGGTGTAATGTGCTTACTCAATATATTTTTATTGGATACCTACTAAGTGCCAAGCATGTCAGCATGGAACAACATTCACAATTCAGCAAACGTGGTAAGTTCTAGCAAGTTCAGGATGCTATGAGAATGTGTCATAGGGGATATCAGCTGCCTGGAGGTTCAGGCAAAGTTTCTTGGAAGAAGTTACATTTCAGCTGAAACAGGCTGCTATCTGCTTGGGGTTGTGCAACTGCCTTCACACCCCAGTTCTGACTCTTGGACTTGTTAGTATCTCAGAGCTTGGGTCCTTGCGTGTAAGATGAGAATAATGACACCTGGCAGAGTTGTGGGGGCATGAGAGATAATACAGGTAAAGCACCTCTTATACTACCATGCATATAGTAAGTCCTAAGCGCATGGTGCTTGTAATAATTAGACACTAATGTCTGCCTCAAAAGAAAACGGAAAAAAAGTCTAGCCAACAGCCAAAGATAAATGTGCAGAGGAGAAATTGGGGAAGGCTCCAAAATTAAGGGACAGTTACTACCCTACACTTGCAAGAGGCTTCATGGGCTGAGTTTCATCTGTTAGACTACTTAGTGCTTTAAGACTATGCTAACTAGATTTTCTGAAAAGTTGATAAGGAATTTTTGGAAGTGTTCTTTCTAGCTACAGGTTAGCCAATGCCCAGGTCATATTTCTCAGGCAAAAGTAAGATACCTGGGAAACAGCTACCTGGACAGAGCGCATGCGGGTTAATCAGAATTTGTCAGGCTCAAGAGACAACAAAGTTTTATAAACAAGGTGAAAGGGCAAGCGATGAATGATCAACTGGAGGTTTCAGTTAAGGGTCGGAAGACCTGGCGCCACCTGGGTGGGTCCTAGAAGAGGGAAACACTGGTGTTCCAAGCAGAGCGCACACGGAAGCCGGCGCCGGTGCCCAGAGCTCCTCGCTGGGCGCTCCCTCCCTAGGCCTCCTGGGTGTTTGGATGGCGGCCATGCCAACATCCGTCAAATGGCTGAAGGTGGACTTCACCACCCCCGGGGGGGAAGGAAAGGTGCAAGGCAGTGGGAGTGAGTGGGCGAGGCGGGCGGAGAGAAGCGGAGCAGTGGGAGGGATTCTGGGCAGGAGGGGGAGGGATGCCGGGCGCAGTGGGTGGGGTGAAGCGGGTTGAACTGGTGGAGGAAAAGAGAAAAGGGCGCTGTGGCTTGGCTGTAGGAAGTGCCCAGGGCTCCACTCTCGCTGCGCAGCCGCATGCTAGTGGGACAGCCAGGTGAGCCCGAGATGCTGCTGCGCTTGAAGTCGGGTCTGCCGCTGCCGCTGCTCCTGGGGCTGCTCCGTGCATTCTCCACGGGAGTCCTAGCTGCACCCGTGCAATCCGTGGACATGGTGGGGCTGGACTTCTCCACCCAGCAGCCGGTGCACCTGGTGAGTCCCGCCTTCCTGTCTTTCACCATCGACGCCAACCTGGCCACAAACCCGCGGTTCTTCACCTTCCTGGGGTAAGCGCCGGCCTTTCAGTCCCTGTGCCCCTGTGCCCTCTGCTGGCCTCCTAACATACCCGCCTGCCCTGCCAGCCACTAGCCTCCTCTCCTCTCTTTTGTCTCTTTTGCCACAGGGAAATTCTCTCTCCCTCCCTCCACCCATCTCTCTCTACCTCTCTCTCGATCTCTCACGCCTCCCATATCGTTCCTCCCGACTTCATTCTTTCAGTGAGCGCCAGCTAAAGCCAGGTATTAAGGGGAAATTTAGGAAACTTCCCAACTGCCCAGCAACGCGCCTGGAGGAGGGACCCAGGCAAGTGCACCCGAAGGGCTGTCTTGAATTTGCGAGCAGCACAGTGTAGAAAAAGTAAGACTGTGGACCAGGCAGGCTCCTGTCTCTTAACCCTGTTAAGAAGGGTTGAAAAAAATTTTTTGAAAAGTCAGATGGAAAAGACCTCAAAGGAGAATAAGCTTGTGCGCTCGCGCACTCTTTCTCTCCTCCGCCCTTTTAAAAGTATACATAAAATATATTATGTATATTTTAAATAAAATTTTAAAGAGCTATTTTAAGGTCACAGCTAAATTAAGCACAAGGTACAGAGATTTCCCACATTACACTTCTAAAAAAAATCTAAATATAAGACAATGAGACCTGGGGCATGATTGCGGTGCCTTACAGACCCTTAATAAAAAGATGTCTCTCCAAGGTGAGGGTGCAAAATGTGGCAGTGCTTTATCAGCTGTAATTTTTTTTCTGATAGGAGAAAACTTGGTGCAGGTTCACTGGCCTCTGCCCCAGGAGTGCAGGCCAATCCCAAAACAAAAAGCTACAGGGATAGTCCCAGGTCACCTAGGCCACTCATCTAGGTCATGAGAGCCTCCAAAGACAGCCACACCTCAACCAAGCCAGACAGCTGGGTATCTTGCCATTGCCAAACACCCACATGCTGTCCTTCCTGTGACCACACTGTTAGCTGCCATTACTAATTTGAGTCATTTATTCTGCAAATAAAAGCAGGTAGCCTACTTTTTTTTAATGTTTAAATGATGTTTATGCTACTCCAGTTGCCTCAATTTCCCCTTTACCACCCTCCACCCATCCCACCCCACCCTGTGCTCCCACAGTTGATTCCCACTCTGTTGTCCATGTCCATGTGTCATTCATACATGTTCTTTGTCTAGTCCCTTCCCCTTCTTCCCACCATTGTCCTCTTTCCCCATCCCCTCTGGTCACTTTCAGTCTGCTCCATGTTTCCATGCCTGTGGTTTATTTTGTTCGTTAGTTTATTTTGTTGAATAGTTTCCACATATAGGCGGGATCACATGGTATTTGTCTTTCAACAACTGGCTTATTTCACTTAGCATAATATTCTCCAGTTCCATCCATGTTGTCACAAAAGGTAGGACTTTCTTTCTTTCCTTCCTCCCTCCCTCCCTTCCTTCCTTCCTTCCTTCCTTCCTTCCTTCCTTCCTTCCTTCCTTCTTTCCTTCCTTCTTTCTTTCTTTCTTTCTTTTTTCTTTCTTTCTTTTTTAAATGCAGATTGATTTCATTTATTTTTTCGAAGTCAAAGTCAATTGTAAAATATTAAAAAATTTAAACCCATTAGAAAGTCTCAGCAATTAAAACAACATGACACCAGCACAGAAATAATCAAGTAGCTCAATGAAATATTATGAGCATTCTAGAAACAAATGTATATATCTGTCTAAAAATGTAATGTATGATTAAGCTGATATTTCTAATCAATGGGTAAAATAAGGCTTATTCAACAAATAAGGTTCATGGACCATTATTACTTCAAATAAAACAAATATAGACCCAGGTTCACACAATATACAAGAAATATTCAGATAAGTTAAAAATCAATATGTAGAATCTAAGGAGTTTTAGGAGAAAATATTAACTAATATTTTTCTTACCCTGAAGTAAAATATTCCAACCCAAAAGCTATAAAGTAAAATATTGACAATATTACTATATTAAACATTTAAGACAATATAGTACTATACATATAAAAAAAGTTAAAGGATCCTTTAGGATTCTCTGTTTGCCTTTGATATTTGCCATTTTAATTATGATGTGTCTTGGAGTGGGCCTCATTAGGTTTCTCTTGAAAGGGACCCTATGTGTTCCCTGGACTTGTGGGACTTTCTCTCCTACAATTAGGGAAGTCTTCCATCATTACTCTTTCAAACAGGTTCTCTATCTCTTGCTCTTCTTCTTCTCCTTCCGGTATCCCTATTATACAGTTATTATTATGTTTCAGGTTGTCCTGCATTTCCCTAAATGCCTCTTCATTCTTTTTGAGTCATTTTTCATTTTCTTGCTCTTTCTTGGAGCTTTTTTCTACCTTGTCCTCCAGCTCACTGATTCGATCCTCTGCTTCCACTAGCATGCTTTTGATTCCTTCTACTGTGATCTTCGATTCAGAAATTGTATTCTTCATTTCCTCTTGTGTCTTATTTATAGTTTCTACGTCCTTTTTCATGCTGATATAGTTTTCAGTATGTTCCTCATAGTTTCCCTGTAGTATTTTGTAATTCTCTTTGAGCTCACTGAGCTCATTGAGCTTCCTTAGAACCATTGTTTGGAGCTCAATATCTGATATTTTACTTGCTTCTATTTCATTTAAGTCTCTTTCTAGGGATTCCTCCTTTCCCTTCGACTGGCAGGTATTTCTTTGTCTTCCCATTATTTGTGAGACTCTTCTTTTTTGCTTCTGCTTCTTAAACTGACCTGTTTTGACATCCTGACTTTGTGGTGTGAGCTTCTATGGTAGGAGACTGCTGTTTTTTCTTTTTCTTTCTGGATCTGTCTCTGATGATGTCAGATGTTGGCCCTCTCTGATCTTAGGCAGTCTATTCAAGAGTTCTTGGGATCTACTGTCTGCAGCTATCTCCTTCAGTTGTGAATCTAGTCACACTGCAGTCAGGCTTAGACACCACAGGGCTGGGCAGAGTCCCTCCTGGGGGCAGAGCTATTGTGTCTTCTCATGCTGCTACTACTCATGGGAGTGGTCTGTAGAGCCAGATGACTGCTGCCGAATGAGGGAGGAGTCAGCACTAGGATCCCGCCACTACTCTCTCTGTTCTCTCTTCAAAGCCACTGTCTCCAGTCTCTCCTTAAGTGCCTCTAGACCATTCTGTGCCCCCTTTATCCAGGAATTGACTATCTGTGGCTACCACTCTGAACTCATAAATCAGGCTTTAACACCACTGGGACAGGGCCAAGTCCCTCATGGGGGCGGGGCTATTGTGTCCTCTCATGCTATTGCTGCTCAGGGTACTGGTCTGCCTGAGCAAGATGGCTGCTGCCACATGGGGGAGGAGTCAGCACTGGGATCCTGCTGGCTACTCTCCCAGTTCTCTCCCCAAAGCCTCCCTCCCCAGTCTCTCCTCAGGTGTCCCTAGCCCAGTCTGCCCCCACCTTTGCCGGGAACCAGGGTAAGTGGCTGCAAATAAAAATTTATGCACTAGCCCTTTAAAAGGCTCTTTGCGTTTCCAGCCACCTGTCTCTGGCAGAGAGAAACCCTGCCGCTTTTTGCAGTTGGTTGTTATCTGTGTACTCTTTGGGCTCTGGTGCTGTTCACTGGAGATCCCCACTTACGGTTCAGACCCTGTTCTTCTCCGGGGGAATCCAACTGGTCCTTTCAATATCCTTCTGGCACTGCTGCCCGTGGGCTCCCCGCCCCCTTCTTGAATCTCTACCACACTCCTTACCAGTTAGATCGCACTAAAGCTGATTCTTCTGTCTCCAAGTTTATGGGTCTCCTCTCCCGCTATTGTTCTGTTGTTTGTTCCAGGTGATTTCTCCACAATTTAGCTGTAAATCCCAGGTTGGTCCTGGGAGGAGGTCAGTGTGACTTCCACTCTCTCCTCTGCCATCTTGATTCTCAATTAGGTAGCCAACTTTTAGATTAATTGTCAGACCACCCTGGCTTGATTCCCAACTCTGCCAAGGCTGGGTGGCTTAGTTTTACCATTTGCCTGGCAACTCCAAGCTGCAGTTTCTTTACCTGTAGAATAAAACTTTCTTGCAGGATTGTAATGAGGATTTGATGACATAATAACAAATAAGTGCTTAGCACAGTATTTGACCCAGAGTACTCACAGTTTAAGCTAACTCCTTTTTCCTGGAAAGTGGCAAGTATTTGATAACCATTCACCAGTTCTTGCTGTATCTTTTGATCATAGTTAACCTCCATCTTCCTGCTTGTGGCAGGAGAGGGAGTGTTTCTTGGTGGGGAGGAATCCCCACTTTGTCCGCTTTCTTAGGAATAGGAATGTGATGTAGGCAGTAGCTGGTTGGGAGACAGAAAGACTACTCTGGAGAAACTCTGAAGTATAGAGCTACATATCTCAGGACCTCAGGCCTAGCTTGGGGATTCAGGGAGAGATGATAAGGGAAGAGAGGGTGTGAGGTACTTGACTGAAAACAGAGGGATTATGTAAATGACCACTTCCTATAATGTGAGAACACAGGTTCTATTCTGCCACTGCTGCAGCAGCCTCTGCCCCACCCTTCCTTGAGGAAGGGCATTTGAGAATACCTTCCTGGAGAAACAGGTCCAAAAGGAAAAAACCTATAGTATGACTTTTGAGGTCCAGGCCCGATTACCCCGCCATTAAGCTAACCAATTGGCTAGGACCCTCAGCCTCCTAAACACTCAGAACTTCCGATTTGCCATTGAGTGAGGATGATACCTTTGCCTCTTCTTAAACCCATCTCTTAACATCCCATAGCACTCTTTCTTCCTCCCTGGCCCCAACCTTTTTGTTAAAGGCTGGAGGATAATGAAAACCAAAAAGGCTAGCATGCAATAGATAAAACTGTTTTTTGGTTTATAAAACACAGTGTATTCCTGTTCACATGGGCTTCCCTCTAGGGTTGGCTCCTGGCCACTCCAGATTCCTTCCATAGCAGAGGCTCTCTTCGATGCCTGCTCCCCAGAAGCATCTGCAGTCACATCCACACTATTCTCAGGTGAGGCCTAAAAGATGGCAGCTCAGAAAGGCAG